CGTACCTCGGTTGCAGTTTGTCCCTGGCCCTGGTTGGGTCGTGCGGGTGGCAACCACTCGATGTGTCCCTTTCACGTCGATGTTTCTCTCTCTCTCTCTCTCCCTCCCACTCTATCTGAACAAAAAATGGAAAAACGTCCTTAGGTGAGGATAAAAAAATAATAAATAAATAAATAAGAATACTATTAAAAAAGAAAAAAAAGTCCAAGGTCTAGTCTCCTTTGCCTGTGGAAAGAACACGGATTGTTTCTCAAGTCCTGCCTTGACCTCTGTCCCACCCCAATCTTACTTGAGAAGTGGAGGCAGGGGCCAGTTATCCTCTCTGAGCTGGGTGAAGGGGGTATTACCTTGTGCAAATACAAGCCACTGCCCATCTGCGCCTCCCTGAGAAAGGCTCCTAATAAGTTCAGAGCCGCCAAGTGACACACATCTCAATTTAGGCAAATCTACCACATTAATGCACCTTGCATAGCCTGTATTAAGTCCCTGTTAATAAGGAGGCAGATGGACCCCTCCCACCCAGCTCTTCATCCTTCCTCTGTCCCTAGCCTTCTTTGGTTCTCCTCTAACTTAGAGGCATCTAGAGTTCTTGAGATCCACTAGTGTCCTTTTCCCTTCATCCTACCAGAGGGGGCCTTGGAAAGCCAGCAGAAAATAGAAACCTGCAGGGGAGACTTGAAGAGGGACCCAGGCAGCCTACTGGGCAATGACAGGCAAGATTTGGGAAAAGGAGTAAGGGTAGCAAGGGGGTTTTCAGAAGCTTACATCTGCCTGGGGTGGATCTGGTAGAGGCCGTGTAAGAGAGTGGAACAGTGACTGGTAGGATGTAAAGTGTGTATGGGCAAGCACAGAAGCAGACAAAGCCGAATGCCTAGTGATTTTTTTTTTTTTTTTTTTTTGGTGCTACGTGCCCCTAGTGGGAACCAAACCCGGGACTCTCTGGTCCACAGGCTGACGCTCAACCGCTGAGTCAAACTGGCCAGGGCTGCCTAGTGATTTTTAAACATGTTTTTTATTCTGGAACCCTTTTTTCAAGTGAAATCTCTCCAGAAAGCATAAACAAAACAGACAAAAGCAGGGCTGCCTTAGATAAAGCAGATCAAAGAGAGGCCAGGCTAGGGTTCCATCCTTGAGACTAGTCCTGAGTTCCAGTCCCTTAGTGGGGGTTTCTGGGTAGGGCCCTAAAGAACACAATTTGAAAAAGCAAATGAGAAGAATCATTAGCTTAGGAGTCTCCCAGACCCAGTTCAGATCCCAGTTCCACTACTTACAAGCTCTGTTACCTTTAATTATTACAGTCTCAGTTTCCTCCTGAAAAAGGTGATTATACCTAATATTGATGCATTCTTGTGAGGGGAGAGAGATAACAAAATAAAGGCACACTGTAAGTACTCATAATTGATAGCAGTGATTTTCCTTGTGGGAGAAATATTAGGTCTGGTTCAAAATCAAATCTGTCCCCCTGGAGAGGAGAGTAACAGAGGTTTCAGCTATGTCTTAGGTGTGATTGGCTAAGGGTCATGTATAAGTTTATGGGGATATTGGACATTCATGTGGAAAGGAACTGAAATTTTTTATTTTATTTATTTATTTACTATTTATTTATTTATTTTATCCTCACCCGAGGACATTTTTTCCATTTTTTTGTTCAGGTAGAGTGGGAGGGAGAGAGAGGAAGAGAGAGAGAGAGAGAGAGAGAGAGAGAGAGAGAGAGAGAGAGAGAGAGACATCGATGTGAGTGGCTGCCACCCGCAAGACCAACCAGGGCCTGGGACAAACTGCAACCGAGGTTCGTGCCCTTAGCGGGAATCAAACCCGGGTCTCTCAGGACCGCAGGCCAATGCTCTAATTTGCCAGGACCTGAAATTTTTTTTTTTTGTACAGATAGAGTGGGAGGGAGAGAGAGGAAGGGAGAGAGAGTGAGAAACATCGACGTGAAGGGACACATCGAGTGGCTGCCACCCGCACGACCAACCAGGGCCCGGGACAAACTGCAACCGAAGTACGTGCCCTTAGCGGGCACCGAACCCGGGTCTCTCCGGACCGCAGGTCGACGCTCTAACCGCTGAGCCAAACTGGCCAGGGCAGGACCTGAAATTTTTGAGGCTGTGGTATTTGGCATGTGGCATGCAATCATTGTGGTTTTCATTAATTTATAAATATCTATTGAATACCAACTGTGCAATAGGCAGTTCTAGGTGCCCAGCAGTGAAAAAAACAAAGTTTAGTGTGTATATCTGTGCATAAAATTTTTGAGTATACAACTTTTTCCCCTTAGGTTGCTGTTTCCCCATTCTATCCTAGGGCACCCCACACAGGGGTAGCTTTTTTTTTGGTGGCTGAGGAAGGTGACAGTAAACCTGTGGGGAAACACTTCTGGAGATTTTATCCCCATTGACGTGGTCTGTGTGTCTTCTCTTCCCTCCAGAGTCTTCTCTCCATGGAGTTCGGCCTGCTCAGCGAGGCGGAGGCCCGGAGCCCGGCCCTGTCGCTGTCAGACGCGGGCACTCCCCATCCCCCACTCCCAGAACACGGCTGCAAGGGCCAAGAACACAGCGGTGAGCACGCCCCCTCCTGGGTGTAGGGGAGATAACTCAATCCCTAATTGGGGTGGGGCCGGGGTGGGAGACAAGGGCTGGTGGAGGAGGTACCCCAGCCAGGAAATCCTTGTGACCTGACCCAACCCGGCCCCAGACTCGGAGAAGGCTTCGGCTTCTCTGCCCGGTGGCTCCCCCGACGACGGCTCGCTGAAGAAGAAGCAGCGTCGGCAGCGCACGCACTTCACCAGCCAGCAGCTGCAAGAGCTGGAGGCTACCTTTCAGAGGAACCGCTACCCTGACATGAGTACGCGCGAAGAGATAGCCGTGTGGACCAACCTCACCGAGGCCCGCGTGCGGGTATGACGCTCCCAGAACCTCAGCCCCATCCCGGTCTTCCTCTCGGACTGCTTAGCGAGTAGCCTAGAAGCCTACAACTTGTGGTTCTGCCCTGCCTGCCCCATCCTCGGATCCGACACCCGACGTCCCAAGGCCCCGGTCCGCTGCCCCACAAGGCCTTCTTTCCACCAACCTCCAATCTTACTCCACCCTATCACTCCAGGCCGCGCGCTTCTTCTCCCCCTGAGACTATCCCTTGTTCTCCTCTCCACCTCTTCTTGACCCCAAACTACTGCCCCCAGCCCGCCCCGCCGTCGCCCTCGACTCCGTTCTGCCGCCCACTGCTTCTGTTCTCAGCTTTCTGACTGCGAGCGCTCCTCCACGACCCCATTCCCGTCTTCAGCCACCTCATCTTATTTACATTCCGAACGGCCCGGGCTTGAACCCCTATCTGGGTGACCCGCTCACCCCCGTTCGGCTCCCAGCCCTGACAGCCTTTTCTTCCGCGCCCGCAGGTGTGGTTCAAGAACCGGCGCGCCAAGTGGCGGAAGCGCGAGCGCAGCCAGCAGGCGGAGCTGTGCAAGGGCGGCTTCGCGGCGCCGCTCGGTGGGCTGGTGCCGCCCTACGAAGAGGTGTACCCCGGATACTCTTACGGCAACTGGCCACCCAAGGCCCTCGGCCCGCCGCTCGCCGCCAAGACCTTTCCGTTCGCTTTCAACTCGGTCAACGTGGGGCCTCTGGCTTCGCAGCCCGTCTTTTCGCCACCCAGCTCCATCGCCGCCTCCATGGTGCCCTCGGCCACGGCCGCCCCGGGCACCGTGCCAGGGCCCGGGGCCCTGCAAGGCCTGGGCGGGGGGCCCCCCGGGCTGGCTCCAGCCGCAGTGCCCTCCGGGGCAGTGTCCTGCCCTTACGCCTCAGCCGCCGCAGCTGCTGCTGCTGCCGCCTCCTCCCCTTACGTTTATCGGGACCCGTGTAACTCGAGTCTGGCCAGTTTGAGGCTAAAGGCCAAACAGCACGCCTCTTTCAGCTACCCTACGGTACCCGGGCCGCCCCCGGCAGCCAACCTCAGTCCGTGCCAGTACGCTGTGGAACGGCCCGTATGAGTTGCCCGGCCAGTCTATCATCCCCAAGGATGGGGTTGATAAAATTCACATCCTCCCCGAACTGGGGTCATCTTGACTAGTTTGATCCCGCCCCGGGGTCTCAGAGGGATGCTGGGGCAGCTGGTGGGAGGGAGGCGGCCAGCTCCAGAGACAGCCTTCCCACTTCCAGCCCTGAGGGGTAGCCTGGGCCCTACACACAGTCCGCGCCCCTGGGACTAAGGCCAGGAACAGGGACCAGTTCCCCGGGGGCCAACTCACCCTTGGCCCACCCCGCCTTCTCCAGACTCCTCTCCCATTTATCATTTTCAAAGATAAATTAAATAAACGTGCGCGGACTGTCAAAGGCCTGATGATTCAGAGTTGCGGTTGAGCCGTCTCCCCTCATCCTCCCTCATGTCTAAAGGAGAGCTGGGTGTTCAGGAGAGGTGAGGGTCCCAGTTTCTAGGGCTTCAGTCTCCCTTAGCCGCTAACACCAGGATAGAAAAGCTGGGGGATTCCTGGAGCAGAGGGGCTCATGCATGCTTGCGTGTCTGTGTGGATGGCTTGGGTACTAGCTGCTTGGCCGGCGTTGGCCAAAGCTGGTGCTGCGGTGCCACCTTGTGGTCCCATGGAGGATAAGTGGAAGATCTGGTATGAAATGCAGGTGTCACTTTTACAACTTAGGAAGCCTATGACCTTAGATAACTTACTCCGCCTTTCTGCACCTTTTTCTCACTGTTTCAATGAGGGGCTTGGGCCTCTAACAGCAATAAAATTCTGGTCTGTAACAGACATTTATTAAGTGCCTACCAGACCTAGGATTCTTATTGAGTGTCCGTGTGTGTACCTCTCATCCTTCCACACATCCCCTTATACTTCTCACCTATTGATCATCCCACTGCCAGCAACCATCTCCCATCACAACAGACCCCTTCTTTCCCCAAATTCCCAAAACCCAAAAGTCTTGTTGAAATATTTAATTAAAAATAGAACAAGAAGAGAAAGGTTTCTATATAGAAATATGAATAACTTGGCTCTGGGGATCCTTCTCAGTCCCAGACCCATCCCAGGGCCTGCTTAGCATTCACATTAGAAACAGAAACCTCAAAGTACTAGATCACATCCCTTTCCCAGGGTTGATGTTTCTTGTCTGTCATAACTTCCTGCCGCCGTGGGGCACACATCCTGTGGGGAAACCATGCAGGGGAGGCATCCTAATTATTCTCCCAAACCTAAACCAAGCCCCTCAGTGCCCTGAGGGAGGACAGAACCTGGAGCTTCTTCTTTTTCTCCAACCCTCTACTTGCTCTTGGCCTTGGCTTTAACCTTGGGCACTATGTAGGTTCGGTAGAAGAAGTGGGAAAAGAGGATGAAATAGGTCATATACACCACGGAGGACCAGAAGATTTGTTCCGTTGTGGTTTGGCATCCCTGTTCCTGTTTCCAGATGTAAGTCAGGATGGTGACATTGATTCCCATAAACATCTGCAGGATCTGCAGGGTGGTGATGAGCCTGGGAAACCACATGGGGGGCTTCACTTTGGCAGCCTTCAGAGCGTAATAGGTATACATGAGGGAATGCACACCATAGTTCATGGTCATGAACCAGCCGCCTGTAGCCAACCTGCTCTTGAATCCAAAGCTTGTGAACACTAGCACTGTGCTGTGGTGGTACCAGTGCACAAAGATGAGTGGCCGCTTACGCAGGATGATGAAGGCCGTGTCTCCTGGGAGATGGGGAGGCATAGCTGGCATACCACCCAGTGTTGAGACCATCCTCTGCACTGAATGTGGGGATGCAGGGGAATTCTCAGGGTGGGTAGAGGGGTCTTTGTGGCAGAGAATCTGGAGAGGGGCTTGGGTGAGAGGTGTTGTTAGGACCCAGGGATGGGGAAGGGACTCGCCATGTGATGGATGAGAGGGGCCCTGAGGAAGGGTGTAGTTGACTGGGTGCCAGAGAGACAAAGCCTTGCTACTCACCAAATTCAATGATCTTGCTGAGAACAAAGAGGGAGGACCAGAAGTTGACTACAGAAGTGTTGATGAAGTTGCTGTAGCACACAGTGTGCTTTAGGCCATACCTACGTATCAAGATCCCCATTAGGCTCCACGTCCTCAGTGCCCCTAGGATACTGAAATGGGACAGAGGAAAAGGGTATAAGGTCATTCCCAGACACCAATTCACCCTTCCCCCTCAGCCTGGTCACGTCATTGTCCCAAGCTCCGCCACCTTCCCACCCTTCCGGGGGTCACGGCTCCTGAAATCCCGATACCAACCAGTAATCTAGAGGAAATGAGGGCTGGGAAAGGACCAGGGAACGCTGGAGGATGGGACTGAAAGCTGACTTAGGGAACAGAGTTCTTGGGATGGGTAGGAGCCTATGAGGAGATGGGTGGCAGGATGGGGGATATCCATGGGGGAAGAAATATTGGAAGGAGGGGGTAGAGAAGTTATTGGCGAGTCTTGGGAGAGGGTATTAGAGTCTGGAGAAATTTGTAGGAAGTACACAGACTCCATGAGCACAAGAGGACTCGTGAGAGAACAGAAACTGCCAGTCTGGAGCCTGGGGAAGAAGAAGGGAAGCTGGGAAGAGAGCTAGAGCTGAGAGAATGGGATAGGGAGAGCTGGGGGGGGGGGGGGGCGCAACTTGGGGTATTGATGCAATTAAGGTTTCTAAAAAGCTTTTAGGGATATAGCGAGGTGTTCAAATAAGCAAGGAGTATCTTACCTGAAGATTGCAAGGCAAAAAGACCAAAGGAAGAGAGGCCCCTGCAGATTGAAGCCCTTCCGTGCCTTCATGTAGTTGTGCCCCACAAAGATGAACAGCAGGTAGATCAGAGCTATGGGAAATGAGGCTGCCCTGGCAGGCAGAAGGCAGAGGGGATGGGCTCATGGGTGGGTGCTGATTAAAGACAAGCCCGCTCATCTCTCCAAGTGAGTGCTGTGGGTTGGAGTTCCAGCTCAGCCACCTACTAACTTTGTGACATTGGAAAAACTACTTAGTTCTCTAAGCCTCAATTTCCTTATTTGTAAAGGGGGAATAATACTCCTCTCCTGACAATGTTAATATGTAAATTACCTAGCACATTGCAGGGGCTGTGTCCAAGGTTTTTGTGATTATTGCTCTCTCAGTGGGGCTGGAAGTGGGTAACAAGTGCGGGTCCACGCCTAGAAGCAACACAGGGCTACAGGTGTAAGATGAATGTGGCAATAGCTTCCACCTAGTTTGGTTGGTGTACAAAATCAGAACACAAACTCCTCGGAGGAGCCTTAGGGCAAGGCCAGAGAGCCTGGGGAAATCTTGAAGAGCTCTCTGACTGCCTCCTTCTCCACGGCAGGGACAGATGGAACACTTGGAGAACAACATGAAAATTATGAAGGGCAGGCTATCTCTGGGCACCTGCACTATGTACATGGGTGCACACAGCCACACAAGACCACAAAGGACAAAGAAGAATCATATGTAGGGTGGTGGGACTAGTAGTTCCAATCAACCCCATTCTTCAGAGACTAGTTCTCACTATACTTTTTCTCCTTGGTTTCTGTCTCCTCTCAAATTCCTCACCCCATACTTTTATATCTGCCTCTTTTTCTCTTTCTCCCCCACCCCCTTTCTCTTTTCCATATCTAATCTCTTTGAGGTACCACACTATCTGCACTTTCGACAACGGAAATGTGGAGCCAGTACAGGAATGCCCGATACCTTTGCTTTTTAAGGAAAATCATTGCGGGCAGCGTCTCTACTATCCCCATCCCCACCCCCAGCCCCAGCCCCACCCCCACCCTCCTAATTGCAGTCAACAGAATCAGGCCTCTGGCATGGCCCTTCCCCTTCCCCAGGTCTCACCAGTACTTCTCCAAATAGGGTCTCATGTACTGTAACCCCTCGAAGTTGTAGGGTTGGAGCAGCTGCTCTATTTCGTCTGAAACATTCTTGACTGTGCCCATTTTGTTCTGCAGACGTCAAGGTCGGGAACTTGGGGAGCTGGGCGAGAGGGTGGGGAACCGAGGATGGAGCTAACCTGGAGGCGGGACAGAACGGAACTCCGCGGCGAGCCCTGGACCGTGGGTTTCAGGTGCGTGCGCTGCGATCCGACCCCATTCCTCCGCAGCCGCCACTGCGGTATATAACACGGATTTGCAAAGCGGCGGGCCCAGGTGGTGAGTGGCCACCTCCTTGTGCCCGGCCGTTATCCAATCTCTACCAAGACATGCTCCTGTCCCGCCTCTGGGCGGCAGCACGCTCTCTGATTGGTCATCTTTCCACACATACGCCCACCTCAATACCTTTTCTATACCCCTCGCCCGCCTTTCCCATCTTTTTCTCCCCCCTACATCTCCACTCACGCATGAATTAGCCTGTCGCCTTTGCCTCAGTTTGTTTTAATTCTGACCTACTTGGCAGTGAGGAGAGAGTGGGGGTGTCCTCCAGCCTCTAGTGCCCTGACCCAGAAATAGGGATGTTAGTTTCCCAGCTTCCCTGATACCCTGGAAAACCCAGGCTGCAGTTGAGGATGAATCAGGATGGGAAAGCAGCAGCAATGAGCCTCTCCCATAGTCCTATCTGCCTCCTTCAGGTCTGTGGTTGTGGGTGGGAAAGAGGTAAATTATAATGAATTTTATTGTTGAGGTTGTTGATGTTGATGTTTGGGAAGATGGTTGTTGAGGCTGTTGGGGTTTCTTTATAATTTCCTGAATACCTAAACTGCCCCAGCCTGACACCCAGTAATAATCCTGGGGAGGAAATGGGGTCACCCTCTGGGCTTCTGAGATTATTGTTTTAGGGTTTCCTGGAGGCCTCCTAGGGTTTATAGATGCCCTGCCTCTCCCCAGTCTCCTGTTCTCTCCCCCAATCTATGCTTATCTAATCAAATCTACTTTTTCCTTGCCTGTGTACTCAACCCCAAAGAAATACATATTTTAAAACTTTTAAGGCCTCACCTGGCCAGTTTGGCTCAGCAGTTAGAACACTGGCCTAAGGACAGAAGGGTCTTGGGTTCGATTCCAGTCAAGGGCAAGTACCTGGGTTGCAGGTTCGATCCCCAGCCTTGGTCAGGGTTGTGCGAAGGCAACCAATTAATATGTCTCTCTCACAGTGATGTTTCTCTCTCTCTCTCTCTCTCTCTCTCCCCCGCCCTCCCTCCCACACTATCTAAAAATCAATGGAAAAATATTCTTGGGTGAGGCTTAACAACAACAACAACAAAATCTTGTAAGGCCTTACTTGTCTGCCCCTTATTTCTCTCCTAGGTTTTATGGACGTGAGGAAGAAATACAAGGTTCAATGGCAGTTTTCAATAAGATGGAGATTTGCAAAACAAGTGCTAAGATAACAAAATATACAATATTTATAATCAAGATGTGGCTATAAACAACTATATACAGGCTCTGGAGCCAGAGGACCCAGGTAGAAATCCCAGCTCCACTTTCTTAACCTCAGTCAACTGTCTGGGGAAGGGTCAAGTGGGAAGTACTGCTATCTAAATGACTCTCAAGTGCATTCCTTTGTTTCTGTACCAAATCACCTCTCACCTGACCACTACACCCACTATCTTAGTCACATTAACTGGTTGCATCACCTCTAATACAGTGTTTCTCTCTCTCTCTCTCTCTTTTTTTTTATCTTCACCCGAGGATATTTTTGCATTTATCTTCAGATAGAGTGAGAGGGAGAGAGAGTGCTTCTCTCTCTTTATTGCATTAGAACCAGAAAAGAATTCCCAAACCTGGCTGAAGGTAAGATTCCTGAGCCCCAATTCCAGAGATTCTGACCCAGTAGTTGGTCCCAGACCATACTTTGAAAACCACTACTCTCTGTCCTCTCATCCAGAAGAGGGTTCTAAAACCTAAATTGGATTGTGCTGTTTTCCTGATTAAAACTCTGCAGTAGCTTTTGATTGCTTCTTACATACCTTGAAACTCAGAAGGTGATCAGCACATTTTTGATGGATGAATGAATAAATGAAAGAATGAATATTATAAGGATAATACCATGTAGGTGTTATTAGGCCTGGATTCAGACCCCATATCCATTATTAACTAGTTCTGTGATTTTAGGCAAGTTACCTAAACTCTCTGACACTCTCATTCTTCATCAGTAAAATGTAGGTAGTCATATTTGCCTGCCTACCTCGCAAGATTGGGGTCAGTATACAAGTCAGATAATGTCAATGTAAGGGTATTGTGGACTAGACACAGAATTATCAGGATGAATCATTTTGAAAGGTTTACAAATGTATATAGAATATGTATACTCAGTCTTGGGTTTCTCTCAAATGACATTTTACATTATCATTCCTTGTGAAGTTTAATGGTGAGGCTTGGGGGCAGAGTGTGTGAAAGAGAACAAGAAAAATCTCCAGAAATTATTTCCTAGGGAAACTTTCCCTGACCCTTGGACTTGGTCTGGTATCTCTATTATATAGAGATTGTTCTCATTACATGTTATTTCTTTTCTTCAATGAGAGTTTATAATTACTTTATTATTTGTTTTTTGAGGAGGGGGGTTCTTGATTAATGCCTGTTTCCTCCACTAGCCCTTGAGCTCCATAAATGCAGGCAATATGTCTATTTTGTTTAACATCATTCTCCTAACACTGGGCATATAGTAGGTACTCAGGTAATATTTGTAGCATGAATGACTGAATGGATGAAATCCTCAGCCTTTGTTTCTCCAAGATAAACACACCAAGCTTGTCCGGTCTTTTTATCTCTTGGCCTCAGCTTTCTAATCTATGAAATGGGGATGATATCTACCTCAGAAGCATGTTAATGAGGATCAAAGGAGAATTATGTTAAATATGTTAAAGAACATTATGCAACATAAAATGTTAAGCAAACAATAGAAATTATTACCAAAAAAAGTGAATTTGTACAAATTTAAACTTCCTTTAAATAAAACTCAACTAATTAAAAAGGAAAGCCACGATCTGGTGATTGGTTGTACAATAATGTGAATTTACTTAACACTAATCAATTGTACACTTATAAATTGTTGCCCTGGCCGGTTTGGCTCAGCGTTTAGAGTGTCGGCCTGAGGTCCAGAGAAACCGGGGTGTGGTTTAGGCTAAGGGCACGAACCTTGGTTGCGGTTTGTCCCCGGCCCTGGTCTGTCGTGGGTGGCAGCCACTCGATATGTCCCTTTCACGTAGATGTTTCTCTCTCTCTTTCTTCCTCTCTCTCCCTCCCATTCTGTCTGAACAACAACAACAACAACAACAAAAATGGAAAAGTGTCCTTGGGTGAGGATAAAAAAATAAATAAATAAAATAAATTGTTAAGATAGTAGGCCTGGCCGAGTATCTCAGTTGGTTGAAGTGTCATCCCTGAACGCCAGGGTTGCAATCAGGCTGGGCACATTCGAGGGTTAACCAGTGCGTGCATGGATGAGTGGAACAGCACGTCAATGTTTTTCTCTCTCACTCTCACTCTCTCTCCTTTCCTCTCTCCCTAAAATCAGTAACCAAACTTTTAAAAAATGGTTAAGATAATAAATGTTATGTATATTTTACCACAATTTAAACATTTTTAAAAATGGAAGCCATGAAATGGGAATATAGTTTTAAGTAAGACATATAAAGAGTTTATGTGCATACTACACAAAAAGCTTATCCTTAGTCCTATCTCTCTGACCCTTAGTAAGTGGCTAAGAACACAGATAGGCTCATTTTATAACTCCAGTATCCCCAAATCTACCTCTCCTTTACTGGCAGGAAGGTCTTTCTCAAACACAAATTAGCTCATGTCATCCTTTTTTTTTTTTTCTTTATTGATTTTTAGAAAGAGAGGGAGAGAGAGAGAGAAACATCAATGAGAGAGAACATTGATTGGCCGCCTCCTGCATGACCCCCACAGGGGATCTGGCCCACAATCTAGAGGTGTGCCCTGGCCAGGAATTGAACTGGCAACCTCTTGGTGCATGGGTCGATGCTCAACCACTGAGCCACACTGGCCGGGCATGTCATTCCTCTTTAAGAACAACAAAAGACCTGGCCAGTTTGGCTCAGCGGTTTGAGCGTCAGCCCACAGACCAGAGAGTCTGGGTTCAGTTCCCACTGAGGGAATGTACCTCGATTGCAGTTTGTCCTCCGCCCCAGTTGGGGTCGTGTGGGTGGCAACCAGTCGATGTGTCTCTCTCATGTTGATGTTTCTCTCTCTCTCTCTTTCACCTTCTCTCCCTCCTGCTCCATCTGAAGATAAATGCAATAATATCCTCGGGTGAGGATAAAACAACAACAACAAACTTCAGGACAAAGGTCAAGTTCTTGAAGCTAGCCCTGACCCAATATCCATCATCCTTTAGCCCCAGCATTTCACATTTTAGCTATAATGAAACAGTCACAACTCCATAACACAAATACTATATTTTTAGTTTTTTTAACCCCCTTTACCTCTCTCCCAATTATTCCTTCTCCCCAGACATTTTTTTCTCACCTGGACAAATATTACCCATTGTTCAGCCGAAGCTCTAAAGTCATTTGCCTTGCAAAAGCCTAATCTGTTTCAGAGAGGATCAACTTCTTCCTACTTTGTCTTCTACCCACGGGACTTTGCCCAAACTGCCTGTCAATATTGTGCTTCTATTGATTGAGTATAGTTAGTCATTTATTTTCTTTCTTTTTAAAAAATATTTTTTTAACCCTCACCTGAGGGTATTTTTCATTTATTTTTCAGACAGAGCGGGAGAGAGAGGGAGAGAGGAAGAGAGACAAACATCAATGTGAGAATGTCACATCGACCAGGGCCCAGACCGGACTGCAACCGAGGTATGTGCCCTTGTCTGGAATCAAACCCTCGACTCTTTGGTCTATGGGCTGATGCTCTAACCGCTGAGCCAAACTTGCCAGGGCAATCATTTATTTCCTATACTATCCTGGCTCACCTACCCTATCCCAAATGGTCATTTTTTTAGGTTGCTCATCTTTGAGGGAAGCACACAGCACTTGGCACACAGTGGGCAGTCAAAATATGTTTGTTGTTTTGAATTGAATAGGCATCTAAGAGGAAATACCAACAATAAACATTTATATTTTTAAAAGACTCAACTTCCTTGGTAATTAGGGAAATACTAATTAAAGACTGTACGTATAGTGGGGTCCCAATT